AAAAAAAAAAAAAAAAAAAAAAAAAAAAAAAAAAAAAAAAAAAAAAATACAGAAAGACAAATTACTCAGATCACATACTCATCATCATATTTACGCATAACATATAGCAAGATTTGCATTTAATGCATGAACATGCCTTTAATGGCCTAAGTGTATGTAAATCGTGGATCGCAATAGCGAAGAAGTTAAGTAAATATTAAAAGTTGCTTAAAGAAAATAAAAAATAAAAAAAAAATTAAAAATCAAATACACGCTTGCCGTTTACATGCAGTTACATGCACTTACACGCAATTAAAAGCATTCATGCTTAACATATTTTAAGGCGGTTTCAGAAAATTTTTACTCAAAATGCATACATGCATACATACATACATACATACATACATACATACATACTATACATATTACGCATAGTTTTCGCAGCGTCATAAAAATTGTATTCCTCTTACAAAAGTTTCATTTTTAAGGACTTTTACGTTATACACGTATTTTTATACTTTCACGGTGATGTTGCTTTATTCGCTTAGTTACTTATATACATTCCATTATGCGATTTAAGAATTCGGTAAAAATTGCACTCCGTTCGCGATATTGTGAACTTCCATCCCATCTATACGAATATTTAAAAGTCACAAGAGCTAAAAAAAAAAAAAAAAAAAAAAAATATTGCAAAACTTTAAATATCTTAAAAAAACTTCTGAGTTTTCATAAAAGTGAACAAAGGCTCAGGAAAGGAGAGAAAAATAAACAAACATAAAATATTATTGCAAAACGAATATGCAAAGTTTCCTTTTTCCCGGTCTAACGACGACAACGTATAGGTAGCATTTTATTTATACTCACCGCAAATTGTGCACAATACTATGCATAAATGTTTTATATTTATTTTCGAAAGCACTGCAAAAAGCAGTGTCAGAAATTCCGATTTTCACTAAGCTATCGAATTTTTCCTACAAGTTTTTTCAACGTTTTTTCTTCGGTTTCTTAGTCAGTCTCTGAAGCCCTACATTGCTGTTTTGAGTTTTCTCTTCTTTTTTTTTCAAATTTTCTTCTAGGGCAACAATCGGCCAATCGGTCAGGTAAATTACTCCTCTTTATTTATTTTTTTTTTTTTTGTTCTCAATCAACACAGCATTCAAGTAATGTGCATCTTATTCGTGTAAGCATCGCGAAAAAAGAGTCTTTCAATGCGGTCGGGCCGCGGGGGGGGGGGGGGGGCGTGTTTTTGTACATTTGAGCTTCTTTGCTTTTTTTCGCTTTTTTGTGGATCTATTACTTTGTGTTTCCCATATCCAGGACTTTTAGGAGAATACTATATTATTAGATGTTGTAGTGTTCTCTTGAGAATACTAATAAAGTACAGTTCTGACAAATAGGCAAATAACTCGATTTCTTTTTTCCTGCACACATTTCTTATATAGTTTTACTTGGGCTTGGGTTCTTTTTTTTCCGGCATTCGAGGCTTTATTATGAAAAAATATTTACACATTTACTATATCAAAATATTGTCTAACGCTAAGCAGTAGTAGTTCTGCTATCTATTAGAAATAATAGGAATTCCACGGTGAAATGGCAGCTAGCTACTCAGTCCCAAAAGAGCCCATTGTTGGATATAGTTAGTCGTAGTAATGTGAACGGGAAGATTGAACAAGCAATAAGTCATTTATTGGAACTAATCGGTGCTAATTGGTTGAGGTCGTATCTACTGATAGCAGCCCGGAGTAGAACTGTATATATTTCCAAAAGCAAGTTTTATCTGTGTGGGGACGAAAACTTACAATATTATCGCTTTTGGCATGTTGTAGCTATTTTTCATCTAAATTCCATCAATTGGCATTGATAGCTTTCATTTTATTGGAACAAACCGTAATGCACCACATCCAGCAGCCATGGATAATCAAATTCTTTATCGATGGTTCACTTACTTAACATTATGTTTATTTGGTTTTGGAATAAGCACTCTCTCTTCCTCTCTCTCTCTCTCTCTCTCTCTCTCTCTCTCTCTGGGTGGAGTCACATTCATCCAAGCAATAAAATAATTCATTTATGCTTCATGTAGACTTTCACTGGACGGACATACCTTTCTTTAGTGTTATCAGATTAAATTCGAATATGAAGTAAACCGCTCTATATGTAGGTACACTTAACTGTTAGAAAATATTTGCAAATTTGAACTTTTTTCTATTCCTACGATTTATGTGAGAAACTTTCTATGTCCTTAATATATGTATTTTACGAACACGTTATGATTTATATATTTATGTGCGTATTATACTTATGCCAAACAATTTGTACTATAAATAATAGTGTATCTATAAGAATTTATCTACGTATGCTTAGTGTTGAGAAATGTCTTATTTTATATTTTACGTAATTGTTTATTGACGTTTACATAGCATGTTACTATAACATTAATCTTATTTATTATTTATGGAATATATTTTCATTAATTTCATAATGTGTTTTTTCGTTAAAAGTCCACAAAAATGATTAAGTAATAAGTATCGAAAGCCGAATATATTTCCTTTCATATTTTTCTACAACTTTATATTATTTTATCCTCTACTAAGGGTATAAAATTTTAAATAATTTTTTTTTTTTTTTTGCTCTTTCAGCTTACAATCACTAACAAACCACAACCACAAATGAGGTAATCTCAAAAATTTTTATAAACATGGATAATCAACAACAACAACAACAACAACAACAGCAGCAGCAGCAGCAGCAGCACTATGCAACTACTGGCAGTGCTGCAGTACAGCCAGTCGCCACCTTAACACAACCGTTAAATTCAAGCAGTGAATATGCAAACATACCCAGTTCGTATATGACAATTGACATGATTCCACCCCCGCCACCGGCAGTGCAAAGCATATCAACACCAGGAAGTTCTACTACCACGTTTAAGACTCCACTTTTACCCATGCCAACATTAGAGGATATTGAGGCTGCAACTGTCAGTCAGCCTATAATAGCTGGTAGTATACGTAAGTATCCTTCGACGAGTGCGACAACAAATGTTATACCTTTGAGTATGCCACCACCACCATTGGGTGTAGGACCAGGACCACCACCTGGCGTTGTTGGTATCGCATCGTCGCTAACACCAACTGCCACATCAGCTGTAGTCGCTACCGGCAATCTTGTCAGTTTGACTAGTACAAATATTGACGCGACGACATGTGGCACTTTAAAAAGTACGGCCAAATTACAAACACCCGCCACGCTGACCGCAACAAGTAATATTGCTGCAGGCAATAATAATTGCAATACTGCCGCTACGACTTCCACCTCCGTTTCAGGTAATAGTGGTACAAGCGTGCCACCACCACCCCCTCCGTCGCATACATTACTCACTTCAACTGCCAGCTCAAGCAAGAACAGTAGTCGTAGTAATTTACAACACAGACCCGCCTCACCCAAGTGCTGTGCTTGTTTCGGTTCTGGCAACAAACAGGGGCGTAACTCTTACAACAACAATTCAGCTAACACACATCCTACAAAGTCGTCAGGCTCAACGCTATCAACGAAATCGAACACAGCTGGCAACACAACGAAGAAGAATAGACGACGACACCGTAAACACAACTCTCAAACAATTTGGTCTGCGGTTCTTACCAATCTGGGCATATGTGCTCTTTTGTTAGCCTACACACTGTTAGGTAAGTACACCATGATTTAAAACATACATATACACATACATACATACATACATACATACACACACACACGCACACACACACACACATGAATGCATATATACGCATTTAGAGTTAAACGTATAAAATTGTTTTTAAAAATTTCTTAGTTTGTATATGTGTGTTTGCCCAAATATTTACACTTGAGCATAAACAAAACTTTATAAGAAGATGGTGGGTTCGTTAGTTAGTTTATATATACCTTCATCATCCTTACATTATGTAACAATGTTTCGTTTCTCGTTTTCGCTTCTTCTTCTTATTTATTTTTTTTTTTTTTTTTTTCTTTCTATGTTTGTTCGTTTGCTCCTACAACAACTGCAACTTAAGCATAATTTATGATTAGACATTGAAAGCAATTCATTCAAACTTTACTATAATAATTATGTTTTTTGTGGGCGCTTGGTGGGAGGACGAAAAGGGATTGTTTACAATGTTTCATTCATTTTATTTTATGCAAAAAAAATTGAAGAAAATAAACTTTTTTGTGATTTTTTTTTTTTTTTTTTTTTGCTTTTTGCCTCTAAGAACTTGGTTATGATACGAAACAAATGTTGTTTTTCTCCTCATTTCGAAATTGAAGTAAATAAGAAAAAAAAAAAAAAAAAAAACTAAGAAATTGTTAAGGTTTCTTTAAATTTCCGCTGTGCATTCATTCGAGTGCACTGTGTGCTACGTCATTATCGACACTTTAGAATTTATAAACTGCAAACATGAATGTCCAGCAGAAAGTTTATAACACTTTTTTTTTTTTTTTTTTTTTTTTTTTGTCAACCTAATCGGGTGCTTGGAAACTTGGAAAAATTTGAAAGTCTTCATCAAGCGTTCATCTTATGATAATTTTCCCCATTCTGGATTATCCTTAATTTTCCTATTTAAGAAAAGCTAAACAACAATTTATTCTACGTAAGGTGATGCGTTCAAATTTTGAATTTGTAAAATATTTTGTTTTACGATCTTAAAATAAACTCTTTTCATATATCACCTCAAGGACATCGACGGGCTCAAACTTTTTTCTTCTTTCGTTAGACGTTTGATAGGCTTTCGAATTGTTTTATGGGCAAAAAATTACCGAATAGGACTAAAATAACCTTTCACTTTTGCTTGTATATGTCATATATTTTAAGGTCTTTTATTTCGTTACATTCTATCTAAGGAGTTTTTCAAGTCAGCCGTTTAAATCTTGCTATTAAAATGTATTCATCTCGTTTATCAAAAACCATCACCCAAGAAACTTCATCATCTAGGCCATTCGTTTGCTAGTGTTGATACGCATATAGTATAGACTTGTTCGATTTTCTGCAGCTTTACTACTGTTTAGGTCATACGTCCCCTATAAGCTATAAAGCTTTAACGAATGCTTTTATTATTTTTTGATTCGTCATAGTCTTCTCTTTTTCTTTCTATAATACCACGAATGCCAAGAGCCAATAGGAATGTTCTATTACTCGAGTTCCGTGGTGATTGCGGTGTGCCCGGTTAGTTGCGGAAGAAGAGCTTGCTTCCTTGCTCGTCACTGCGTTGCACTGCAAAGGGGTAGAGGTTTTAAACGGGTTTCGCTCTTACCAGGTCACCGTCACGTTCACGTTCGTATACACGCTTTCATCTGATAACTGGGAACTGGTTCCCCCAACCCCCCCCCCCCCCCCACACACACACAACCCCAAAACCCTTCGGGGCAAGAAATGGGCCTTTTTCCATGGCGTGTGCCATCGGAGACGGCGAAATGAAGCCTTCATGAAAGATGCACATGTTCGGTTGCTTACACCTTGATTTGTTCCTGGAAGCGACTAGCAAGATTAAGCGGGTCCTCTTGATTGATCGCGAAACATTTCGTAATTAATCGCTGGACTAACTGCCAAAACGCTACTTCATGCATCGATCGATTGCGTAATGCTGCTGCATTGCCTTTAGAATATGAAAAATCTCTTTAAGCGACCTCATTGTATGGTCAACATTTTGCTCCTTTTTTTTTGAAATATTTTTTTAATAAATTTTCATTAATTAATTCATTGATATTGTTATGTAATGCTCTTCTTGATAAGGTTTGTATCAGTATCAGATCGTGATTTTATTTACAATTAATTTTTTTAAGGGTAGGATTATTTACAGTTTACTTAGTTTCTTAACTTGATCTTACTTTTCGACTCAAATGTTCTTGTCCGATTTCATTACGCATTCGGCTAAAAGACAACTTGATGAAAGTTTGGCTACCTCAAAAAAATGACAACAACAATACATTACTAACTTAGTTCGATATAAAAGGATTATAATATTAAATCTTGGATAAAACACACAACAACTGAAATTATGTAAACAAGCATTAACCAGTTAATCGGAGACAATTTCGTGATTGGTCATTGAATTAAATCTGGGCGATTTCATTGAAATCGTCTCACATTTGCATCAGCTCTCTTATGCCAGCAACGATATCCTTAACTCTTTTTCTGCATCCTAGGATTAGAAGGGCACTAAAGGAGGCTCTGTAATTTCACATAAACGATTACTTGTAATTGAATTCGATTGTTATGAATCGCAAATGGCCTATCGCAATTGTGACGACATTTTATTGATCGCTCTCTAACCGTAATGCTATATCCCATGTCCCATAATAAAAATGCATTATAATAAATAATTATTATTATAGATTAATTTTGATTGGCGGCGAAGCTTTTCGAAAACTTTTTCATAAAGTTAAACCGTAAGGTTCTAAGTACTTCTACCATAATTATAAATACGAATTTCCGCGAATATTACTCCTCTTTACGTAAGCCTAGCCCAATCATCAAGTGCACAAAAGAGAAGGTATGAGCTAAGTGATTGATCATAGGATAGAAAAAAAGCCATTAATTATTGTAGCTTTTATTTAAATAATTTTAACTTCTCTCAATTATTTTCACTTAAGTATGCATCCCTTATAGCATTGCTGCTGCTAATTTTTATTATAACTACAACGATTACATAACTAACTGCTTAATCTTTTAATAACAACAGTAATTATTAAATTCACCATAAAATAGAAAAACATAAATTATTAGGTGCTTACATGTTCACCTTAGCGCATGCATGCAAATGCCAGTACACTTATGTACAAAAATTAACAACACAATATTCAGTCCTAACTAATGTTGGCCTCTGCTTCCTTCAATTTCGTTCTTCCACTCTCTTTCGCCACGCTCGTCATATTGCTCACCAACTTTTTATGTACCTTATCATATATGTGTGAGAAACAAACAAAAGACCTCAAATGACAAACATGGTTCTATTAGAGGAGATTAAATAATATATATATATATATATATATATATATAATATGTGTACATATCCATGTATATGAATACAAATACGTATACGAATACGTGTGTGTCTGCTTTTATAAATTACAAAATGATTTCCTTGCACAATCACAATATAACGCAACATCAACAAACCACTAACACACGTAAATGTATGTATAAAGTGCCGTTGATAAATGAAATTTGTTAAATATAAAATGATGTTAGTGCGTATGCGTATCCAGGCATGTGCATGTGCGTTCGTATATTTAAATTTAAATTAGTTCTCGCCGCATTTTCACATTCACTAGAACCATTCTCTTCTAATCGATTCAATTTTTTTGTGCCTTTTTCCTGGACCCTCTTTCTCTTTTTCTCTCTCTTTCTCTCTCTCTTTCGCTCTGTCTCCCTTTTCGCTGTTTTGTTTTATCTGATTATTGCATACATGTGTGTTCACATATATCATGACTTTTGTATTTGAAATCAAAATTAATACAAATTTCACTTTGCCTACCAACGCATGCAGCAGCACACAAAGGCACGTGCATGTGTGATGCATTCGAATATAAAACAGATTTGTTTGCATTTCTTCTAAATGCTGCATAAAATAGTATAGTATATGTTTGGCTCCATCATTACCAGCTGTTCGACAACAATTTCATGTTTCTTGATGATTTTGACACTATTATCATAAACATTATACAATAGCAATAACAATAACAATAATAACGAGAACAACAAATATAACAACACTCTTGTATTTACTACAAATATTAAAATTTGTTTACGTTTGTTTCAGAGTTAAGTTTCTCTCTCCAAGTTTCCCATATCTCTTTTGCAAACACTTTCATTACATTAGCATTCGTTATCGTTTAGACGTTGAATTGCAAGACAGAAAGAGAATGGTGACGATAACACGCACACGTGTTTACCTTAAATATGTTACTCTTCTAAACAGACGTGTCGAAAGTTTTAATTTATTTGCATTTTCAATAAGATTACTGTTCACAACCGAGTCTGTAAACGTCAGTTAAGGATTTCTAGAAATAAATGAGGATTGAAAATCACTCGTGATTCCTGAATAATTTACTAGAAAACTAAACTAAAAACAGAAAAAAAAAAAAAACAAGAAACCTTTAAATCAAAGTATTCCCTCTACACACTATTCTATATAAGTTTTTGTAGCGCAATCAGCGAAAGTCAAGTTTGGTTTTTAATTTTTTTTTTTTTTGAAAATTTCATTCTTTTTTCAAATGCCTTGAATTACTTGATTCGTCAACATTGAGATTATGTCAGATTTGCGCATATTGTATTCTCTATACTTCCTTAAAGAGCACTTAAGGAGCGGCACCAACGAAAATTTGGATAGAGAATATTTTATTGAGTTTGCACACACGTCGTAAAGCCGTCATAATAATAAATATTCGATCAATATTGTGTTTACGTTCAAATTCTGCAATTGTCGGAGTCAATCTAAGGCATTGACTTGTTCATATACACATATATAAACATTTAAACTTCAATATTATGAGGAAAGATAGTTAGTTTCTTCTTCTCAATAAAGCTGAATGCATGAAAAGTATTGCCGTCAAGAAGTCCTAAAACAGTATTAACACTGAGCCTCATTCTTTCTTCTTTTCGTTTTTATATAATGGAAATCTCTATTCTAGTTTTTCATATTATCTTTCA